TTTGCTTGCTGACATTATTTCCTTTCATAAGAGTACTTTGCAATATATTCATTATTTCCTTTCATACAAATACATTCACTATATTCATTATTTCCTTTCATACGAGTACTTTGCAATATATTCCTTATTTCCTTTCGTACGTGTATCCGCATGGCATTCAAAGTACTATCAATCGAATGAATGTTGGCATCTTGCTTGGGGAAATAAATGCTCTCTGAAATTAGCATAATGGCAAAGACAAATACAACATACCCATATGTAAGTACGAGTATGTACTTCCAAAGCGCCACAAAAGACTAAAATACAATGATAGAACGAATCCGACACATCCTGAGTGTCTTTGCATGTTTCTTAATCATTTTCATTTTATATTTACCAATGGCATTGGAATTCCCTGCCATGCCACGCGCCCCCACTACAAAAAGGCAGGTAAGGACATAACATATGTAGATAAGCTAAGTACTCCGGATCGGGCTCCGGCTCCTTCTCCGTATGACTGACATACGCATTTAGTGTAACAACATTTGCCAGATGTATGGGAATCAATAACTAATGCGATTGTGACAACCATCACAGAGCGTCAAGGGAGCATTTGTTGCTCCCTTGCCAACTTGGGAGACATAACTTTTGCCCACAGAGCGGAGCAGGAGCAGGGAGAGAGTTGCAGGGGGCTAGAATGCGAAAAGATGCTCGAGAAACTGCTTACAGCTCAGTGCACAACACTTGGCGGCTCCTTCAGATCCCTGCTCGAGTTGTTTCACTTTGTTTTCAATTGCAAAAGTTTTGCCAATTCTCAATTCTTTCTGGTCGGGGATGACAGAACCGTTCCGCGGTTCCTGCAAATATAAAGTCACATTTCAAGTAAGTGGCGAACGAGATGTGATTTAAATGAAGTTAAAACTAAGTCAGTGTGGGGGAAAGTAAACTTGAGAAAAGAACTGCTCAATCCACCCATCCATCTATACCAAGACTGCATTAACTTATCCCTAACACAGGAATATCGAATCATAAATATGAATCTACCGCATTGCATCAGTGAGCAAATTGCTGGAGCAACAGCAGCCACTAAAATGGAAAACTACGCCCAGAGACCGTAACCAATGTGACTCAATGTCCCTCCTTTCCTCAGACACACACACACACACACCCTTTGGCCACTCCTCTGTCTGCCACAGTTGAAGACATCAATTTACTTTTATTTCCCAGCGTGTTCGCGACGATGTTTTTGGGTCTTTGGCGGCGAATAAAAGGGTTCCACCAAAGGGAAAAAGTAGTAAAGAGTAGCGGACTAGTTGTTTGTTGTGACTAGGGGACTACCCTGCATTTCGTTCAGGTGAACTGAAATGAAACTATGAGTGCTATGAGTATGAGTGCTAAAATGGTTTAATTGCAATGCTATGTGTCATATATAAATATAAATAAATATAAATATTTATTAAAATATATTACAATAGACATTAAATGTAAAATATAATATAGCCAAATTGTGCATGGATTTCCCAGGGTATTCCAAATAAGACCCATTATTTTGTATCCTCTTCTCAACCACCCGCACACGATACACTCAAACCTTTTGCTTAGCGATTCAATTCAATTGATTCAATTGGAATTGTATCGGGCTTCGTTTTATGCTCGTTTTGGCCAACACATATTACAGCTTACTGTATCGGATGTGGGGTCTGGGTCCTTCCTACACCCCTCCCTCCCTGCTGCTGTCGCCTGTTCCCGAGTGCCTCATTTATCTGTTGCCAATGGGTCCGTCTCCCTCGGAAACGTTTTACTTGTGTGTGTGTGTGTGTGTGTGTGTGCGGGGACATTTTCACAAAATTTAATATTATACGAAAATAACTTTTTTTGTATTTTTCAGTTTTGCGCTCGCTTATTTTACGAGCCGATAATGTTATTGGCCTAGGAATTTTATGAATTGACCATTTTCTCAGGGGGATAGATATTTTATATGTTTTCTGGCGAGGCCTCCTACCCTCCTCTTCTCCTATGTCACCCACTCGATGGCTGTACCATGACTTTTGCAATTTGCATCAAAAATTGTGTCACGACTAGTTTCGTTACACTTCATTCCATTTCCTTTGTGCATATTTTAGTCCGGCCATCGGTGGTCCCGCAGAGGGGTTTTTCGAGTAGATGATACGGTGGCCCGCTTGGAATTTCTGTGCACTTTGAGCTTCTGCCTTTTCTTGGCCCAGATCCATCTCCCTTCTGGATGCCATTGTCTGGAAGGACAAAATATTTTGCGAATTTGCGGATGCTTTCCACAGTGGTTTGGGTCTTCAGATTGTGGCACAATAGCTGGGGGCACGGCCTGAATTTGGGGCATAAGGGTGGATGGAATTTGATATATGTTTGATGGTGGAAACTTGAAAGTCACATCAGGTGGGTGCACTTGAAATTAGTTTGTTGGCCAAAAATGTTAAATATCATGTATTCAAGGGGTATTCAAGGTTAAAAGTTTCACATGAGAATTCTTGTCAAATGCCAGGCGAAACTACACAGGAAGAGTTTTTTGTTTCTTTTCAAATAAAGTGTATAAATAATATTTTTAAGTAAATTGATTCGTACCTGGCTTTTTCAGTTATATATTTTTTTTAAACTTGATACATTTTTATTTGTATTTTTTATATCTAAAATCTGATCTCTTAAATACACTTGTAGAGTATCTCTCTTAGGGAACTTCCCCATAGACATTTGCATTCAAAACTTTTCAAAACTTCTCATAGTTTACTCTTCAGTCAAAAAATACGCTATAACAGAAACATTATTGACTCTCGTATCACCATCGTAGAAATTCTATGTACATATTTTTCAGTAAACCACTTCAAAAACTCTATCCTTAACTGGGATTTCCAATAATTTTTTCGTTCTTCGTTCTTTTAGAGTACCCAAAGAGTAAATAACAAGTTAAATCCAAAACAAAAACTTTACTCCTTCGCTAAATTTTTTCAGACCACAGTGCCTGAATGCAGTGCTCAGACATACATATGTATGCACATATGTCTGTGCACATGTGCTACTGACTGTATGCATCGTCTGCACTTTGACACTCAAGCAGAGTTGCATTCCTGCCATTGAGCTATTTTGTTCGAGTGCCAACCGAAAGTTTGAAGCAGAATAAAAAAAGTTTGTTCCCATCGTCGAAGAGGAGAAAGTTATCTGCGGACGACAGAAACTTCTTGCGCTGTTTGTTGCTCCCCCGGATTAATATTTTCTTTAGCGTGTCCTCCCTTTTTCCTGGCGCATTCCGGGACGCCTCTCGCTTATTTGTTGCTCTGTCCCGTGCCGGTCACTTGAAATGCAATTTCAAGGAAATATTCCACTCAAGACTATCAAAATACACGATGGCTGAGCTGAGCTTTTTCTTTCTTTGTATAGCTATTTGTTTTTTACGCAAAAGTTGTGTGTCAGCTGTGGCAGTCCGTCTGCGTCTGTCAGTCAGTTTGTCAGTCTGTTTTTTAGCCAAGTCCATTTGACGTGAATTTAGCTTTAGCGGTTGTCTTCCTACAGTGGACATTGCTCTTTAATGAACAGTGGTTGAGCTGGAGCCAAGGGAACTGCTTCTGCAGGCCATGCCGGAACAATCTTTTCATTGGGGATTCTTCTTGAAATTCCACAGCCAACAGGTTACCATGGACTTTATTATTTATGACACACTGTAGTCAAGGAATCAGCGAAGTTCCTTTACCTATAAAAACTCCTTCTCTGGTTCTGGTACATGCGTTGAGAGCTGTTAAATATTAAATGCGTGACCCGCCGCCACAGAACTGCACTGGAAGCGCTACAGCAAAAAATATAAAGAGAGCAGGCACAGTATGCATGTGCATTGTTTTTGCAATGTTAACATGCTTGCAGCCTCAGCAGTACTTCTCTCTTGGTACCGCTCTCATCAATCTTCCCCCTCATGCCCCTCCTCATCCCACCGAGAAAAAAGACATTTCAAATGGCGCACTAAATTACTAAAACCCACATGCACACTCTCCCCTACCTTCCCAACGTCTCACTCGCACTCTCTTTTTCTCTCCAGCCCAGCACTCTCTTTGCATTGCCGAAAAAAAATCAACAGGGTAGTGCAAGTATTGAAGTTCGAAGGCTGTGATACTCTTTAGGCTGTTCCTATGGGAATATGAAAACATATGTACATACATATGTATATGATGTATGTGGGATATCTATAAAACTGCAAACATAATTTGCATGGAAACAATGTTATATACACAGTCTTTTGTTTATAATTTGTCATCTCATAAGTACTACCTTCTCTGTGTTACAAACAACTCTTCCAACTCGTCACACCCTCTCCAAGGGCATAACAATTCCAGGCAGCTGAGAATACAATTTACGCTTTGCCAGGCGTTTTTCATGCATGTTTGTTGTTGCCGTTGGCAAACTTTTTATGGTCGCATCATGCAAGTAGCGCGCTGTAGTTGTTCTTTCTGTTTGTTTGCCTTAACCCGCATGTATGTGGTAGGGTGGTGTGTGCCCTGCTTGTAATGTGCATCTGGTTGACAAAACTTTGTGAAATCATTAAGAAACGCACTCGAATGCAAAAACCTCGAGAGAAAAAAAAAACAAAATTACACAGAAGAAAGAGAGTAAAGTGAGAAGAGAGTGCTCGTGCTCGTGCTCATGCTCATGCTTGTCAAAGCTCTCAGAAAGTTGTTCAGGTTGTCAGGAGGAGACGAGCAGACGACATGATTTTAATAGCAGTAACGAATAAAATTACTGAACCCCCCCTGTTCATCCGGAAAGAGTGAAAAAGAGACAAAGAGATACTGTTATTGCATCAAGTCATGAACTTCCAATATGTAGAGCTATCAGACATATTTTAAGTACTATGAATTAGCACTCATACGAGTAAGGTTAGACAGGGAAAGGACAGACACCCCCTCATCGAAGTATAAAGGAAGTAACCCTGGGATGACATCACAGCTAACATTATACTTCGAGTATGTAGAAGCCCAGAAGCCATAACTCAAGAACTATTATTCAAGTCTTTAGCTTTGATAGGTATACTTTTTATTGGATCCAAATAAACAAATAATTTTGGATAAATCCCAAAATGCTGATATAAACTAAAATTCTTTTTGGATAACATGGATAACGTTTTGCAGCTGAAATACGGTGAGCTGGCATCGTGCCGTTATTGTCAATCATATCTAGAACAAAACGCTTCATTAAGTTCAATCTTCCACCACCGTTATAGACCCTAATGGCATTGCCATTACCAAACCAGATCATCTTTGGTACAGCGGTTATATGATATTTGGCACATGTCTCTTTGAAATCTGAGCAATCGAGCTCCCCAATGCAAACAGCCGTTTCCTGCTTCAGTTCGGTGGCTAGATCAATCCACACCTGTTTTATGGCGATGCAGAATACGCAGCTTGGTTGAAAGAATTTGACAAAGAAATTCCTACTTTTAGTACTTGAATCGAAATTTTTGTTGGTCAATGGATAGACTTCACCTAGCTTACAATCATCGGACGTTACGTTTTGGTCGGCATCGTCTTTTTTCACGAGGGTTTTCTCGGACATAAAGGTGCTCAGATTGTACGATTTCTTTGGAACACCATCATCCTTCTCAAAGTACAGCAGAGTCGGATACGTTGTGACATTATTACTAATGCAAAATGACTCGTATACGGAACAGTTTATGGCGCCAATGGCAAGGCTTGTACTGGCTATATTTTGGATACCCATCAGCTTCCACAATATGCTGTATAAACTATTACAGCTCTGGCAGAGCGTTATATAGAACTCGACTATGAGATTCTTCTTTTTCAGATTTGTTGCAAAATCTTCGGTACTCCAGTCGATTGATTGCTTGAGGTCCTCTACTTCTGATAATGATGATAGCTCTATCAGATTTATGCATATGAGTACAGCAATAAATAAAGATCGTCGAAACATTTTCGTTAGGTTTTTCATATATTCTTGTCATATATTTCACGGCTGATTTTGTTCAACTAGATATGTACCACATTCAGTAGATAAAGGACAATAAACGCAGAGTTTGTACATATATGTATCTAAAATACAACTTGGTAGTTACATGTCATTCTAAATAGTCAAAATTGGATTTGATTGATTTTATTGATAGTTAATTATAAAAAATATTAAAAGTGAATACTCACATTAACAAAGTTCGATATACAATATTTGATCCTTAATTCTGAGCACATACAAATACGTAACAAACAGAGTTTATTTATCAAAAATTTAATTTGAAACAAAGATTTGTAGCTACATGGCCAAATAGTTGAGAAAAAGTATGATAATACTCGTATTCATCGTTAGATAGCTCCTTGACCTTGCTCCTGACTTTTCGATAAATGTTCCATTTGACTCTATCATTTGCTCGATAAAGTGTTTCAGGGGCGCCACTTCGTGATCGCCATTATAGGAGCGAGATGTGTGGCCTTTTTGATACCACAAAAAAGTCGGACGAGCTTTAATTTTTAGATCGTGACATACTTCTTTCGATTTTGCGCAGTCCAAATTCGAAATACAAACGGTGGCGTTTTGTTTCAGTTGTTCGGCTAGCTGATCCCATCTCATTTTGGCTCGTTCGTCAGTGTAGCTGGTAGGGGACTTAAAGATCATTATAAAAAATCTTCCAGTATTGGTTATCAGATTAAAATTATTGGTATTCAGGTGAAACACTTGGCCGGGTGTACACTCATCGGATTTATCGTCCGCATCATCGCCACCAACATCAACGCTGTCTTCAATGTCATCATCAACTCCAAGCCAATTATTTAATTTATTATTATGAATTATGCCATTATCATTGTCATCATTGGTATCTTCAGGATAGTTTCTCGGCCAGATATAATCGGAATTTTTTGTATATTCATCGAAATCATAGCAATTACAATATGATATTCCTGTTAGAACTACAATGAATGCGACTACACAGAAAAATCGCTGAAACATTTTTGTACGCCCAATTTGAATAATGTAAGTTTATTTTTTGAACTATCAAGCAAAGGCAGATACAGATACTGGGTTCTATGAACCCAAATTCCTTATACCTTTTGAAGTTTTCGAAGATAGCGAAACACTGTGGCTAAAACGGTTGTCTTGCCAACATAAACGAAAAAAAAACACTCGTAATGTATATTTTTCTTGTATATATTTCATTAAAAAAATCATATATCGTAGATCTATTAGATTGTTTCGGCCTATTGAGTTTTAAAAACTTGAGGAGATTTCACTTAAAAAATAATTTCACATGCTTGTAGTATGTATATGGGTTGATGAGTAGAGTTCGAATAGAGTTATTGGAATGATTTTCACACAGTTTTCGCTTGCTGTTCGATGATAGCTCAGTGCCACTGTCCGCCCTCAGTGAGCTTCCGGGGATCGATATTCAGGCCGAGCTTCTCCAGTTTCCGCACCTTGCGCATCTGCTTGGTGAGGCGCCGCTTGAAGGTTATCTCCCTGTTCAGATTCATAATCTCCATGGTGTCGAACTGTCGTATGTTCTTGATGGTCTGCAATATCAAATTATCCGTCAGGTGCAGCTTGATGGTGGACATCTTCATGAAGGGGACATCCCGACGTCTTAGCTCCTCACGATACGCATACAGGGTATAGTGCAATGAGGGCATCGATGGCAGCGGACGCTCCAATTGTGGGAATAATAAATCGGCCATGATTTCGTTTTGTTCACTTTGGTCTCAAAACTATCTGATCTGTTTGCGTCGAGTGTCCAGAACGCAATGGTGTCATGGCTCGAGTAACACTCAGTTTTATATCCAACCTCAGGCTACCTGCGACCTACCGAAATCCTCCTTCCGCTTCAGCAGAATTACTTGAGCCACCAGTATTTTTTCTTGGGAAATCCCTTACAGTGGCAGCTGGCGCTATGGTCACCTATGATTGCCTGCCTACCTGCTGTGGCAGCTGCAAGTCATATTCTCTACTGAGCCACGCGATTATTCTGGAATTTTCCATTTCCTTCTGCACCTTTATCTTTCTGTTGGCAAAAATATTCAAAGCAATTCACGTATCACATAAACTCGGATTTCGATCGCTTTCGGTGCTCAAATTTTAATGAGCTCGCGACCCAGAAAAAAGGAACATGCCAAAGGCAAATTTTATTTCTCCTTATTTCCATTCACTGGAACCCAAACTGCAGTCGTCGTCGAGGACGTTTTTGGCGTAATTTTACGGCCATTTGAAATTGTTTTCCTTTGAGCTGGTGGTGCTGACCCTGCTCTGCCTGCAATCGCAATTAAAATAAATTGCATTCACTCAAAGGATTGACGCTGCTGCTGTGACGACGATGGCGGACTATTTTCAGACTGCTGACTGACTGACTGGACGACCAGTGGGCTCCATTTCTCCTGTATGCTATGTGAGCGTCGCTCAAAGGTTTGACCCAAAAATAAAAAAAATGAAAACAGTTTTATAGAATCCAGCGCGCGTATTCATTTAATTAGTTTGAGTTGCTTAAAGCGCGTCAAATGTCCTGTAATATCACAGAAATTAAATGAAACCAACTCATGTAGGAAAATGTCCAACTCGTAATTGCATCAATCAAAACAGAAGGGACGGATGTTTCCTCTACTGATTTTTTCAATCTGATGGAGGAAGATGGAATGCATTTAATTATAAATTTAAACGTCAGCTTAAGAGGTTTTTCAAGAGGGAGTAAAATGAGGTTTGGAATATCTGAAATGAATACCACTCAACGATTACAGGTTTTTTCTCTATATTCCATATGTGATTTTGATTATGAATTGTTCTTCCATTTTCTATTTACAACTCTCTATTGCTACCATTCATCGTACACTCGATAAATCTACGGCCATTGAATACTCAATGAGGCCTTGAATCAGGTACAGGAACCCTGTATGAACCCTTAACCCTTTTTAAAATTAAATCCTCATCTGGAATATTTCGCCTTCATTATCATGTAAATTGGCCCAAAACAAATGGTATTCAATTAGCCAGCACCCTTCAATTACATTCTAGTCAGTGCTGCATTGAGAAATGCAAATGCTGTTGCTGAAAAATAAGCTAATTAAAATGGAGCACAGCGTTTATAAATTACATTTTTGGGTTTTGCATATAATGGTCTGCGGTTTCGTTTCCCAATGGGATTATTTGTATGCCCAAAAAATGACCAAATAACTAATCTATTTTCACATGTGCACATTTGTATATACATATAATACAGTTTTGGTCAGACCAATGCAATAATGTTTTATAAAATGTGGTGAAATATTTCATTTATTTTCGACAGTTTGTTCAAAGTCCTTTCATTCACAAAGTTAATAATTCAACAAGTTAAGTGCAGCTTTTGTTTGAATTCGAAAATACTTCTTAAGTTAAGTATTTAATATGTGAAAAAGGCTAAAAGACGAAGTTACCGACTGTAAGATACTGTCTGATTTGATTATAGTGCCAAAACATGTGGTTGTTCTGTCGCACCTTCTGATGTTTTGGACTTGCCTTTCTTGCTTTTTTTTTTTTAACAAAAATCAAGATTAATAAAACATGCCCAAGTTATGGGAAAAAAAACGGCAAGTCATGTAAGAAAACCACAACAAACGACAAAACGGTGAACTATAAAAGACATTTGTACCTCAACCTTCGGCATATTCAAGTACTAACTACGGACAAGATGTTGGGCAAGTTTTTCCCGCGCATCAAAGTCCTGCCATTGACGGAGCGGACTCGGTCCCGCGATGCCTTTGTCTACTTGGATCGTGTTCAAAAGATTTTCGGCTGGACAGAGCCTGACAATCAGAAATGGAGAATCGCCTATATTCTTTGGGGAATTTTCATAAATGTGCTGCTAATATTCCTGCTACCGATCTCGATGTTGGTATCATATATTCAGATGTTCAAGAGCTTCACGGCGGGAGAGTTTCTCAGCTCCCTGGAGATCACGGTGAATATGTACGGCTGTGTCTTGAAGTGCCTGTACACCATTTGGGGCTACCAGGGATTTAAGGCAGCCAGAAGGGTGCTGGATGACCTGGACCTGCGCTGCACCAGCGACGAGGAACGCTCCAGTGTGCACCGCTGTGTGGCTCTGGGCAACATGTGCTATGTGTTCTATCACATTATTTACTCGGGATTTGTTGTAGTCAATTGGAGCGGCTATCTCCTGATGGGCAGGCACGCCTGGTTGATGTACCTTCCTGGGCTGGACGCTGAAAAGAATTTTTTTATATCCAGCTTGTGCGAGATTTTTCTGATGGGTTCCTGTGTCACCATGGACCAGTGCACGGATGTCTCTCCGCTGGCCCACATGCTGATGGCTCGCTGTCACATTGTTCTGCTCAAGGATCGGTTGAGCAAACTACGTTCCGATTCTAGCAAAAATGAAGAGCAACACCATGAGGAGCTAAGCAAATGCGTCCAGGACCATCGCTTGATACTAGAGTAAGTTATTTTTTGTTATCTGTAAAATTATGGGATTCTACATGTGAACCCTTTAGCTATGTCAATGCTCTGCGGTCCGTCTTCTCGGGCACCATATGCGTGCAGTTCCTTTTGATTGGGATAGTTCTGGGTCTGTCCATGATCAACGTCATGTTCTTTTCGACCCTGTGGACGGGAATCGGCACCGCGTGCTTCATGTTCTGTGTGTTGTTGGAAACATTTCCCTTCTGCTACCTTTGCAACACGATCATCGATGATTGCCAGGAACTCTCCGATAGTTTGTTCCAATCGAATTGGACGTCAGCCAATCGCAAATACAAGTCCACGCTGGTCTACTTTCTGCACAATCTTCAGCAACCAATTACATTGACAGCTGGTGGAGTTTTTCCCATATGCATGCAGACGAATCTATCGGTAAGAATTTATGTTCTCAGAATAAAGCAATGTCTAACTTTCGATTCTCGATTCATTGAAGATGGTGAAGCTGGCCTTTTCGGTTGTAACAATAATAAAACAATTCAATCTGGCCGATAAATTTCAGTAAGGCGGCGACCATTAAGGGCCATGTCCTGCATATATTGATTCCCACTGAAGTAGTAATGCGAATCACAAAAACGTTGATCAACGAAATTAGAACTGATCTCACGAGTAGAAAATTCACCTGTAGACGATAATAAACTCCGCACATCTGGTTTTAAATTCAAATCTTTTTTCTCGGGTAATATTTTGTCTTTTGTGTTGTGAAAAGTTTACCTTGGTATTCATTCAACACACAGGACCCATTCATGCCAACATTTTAAAATTCAACACACACCTTGCTTTATTTATTGATTTTATTCAGTTTATTTATTTGCTTTAATATCATGTAAATTTTCCCAAAACAAATGTCGTTATAAAATTGGGCAGCACATTTCAATTACATTCCGGTCTGTATGCCACTTCTGTTGCCGAAATGATAGCTAATTATATTCGAGCACACCATTTATAAACTCAATTTATATTTTTGTGTGTTTAAATATCATTCCCTGTGGTTTCAATTCCATGTGCCGTCATTTATACGCCCAAAAATTGCCACAGAAATAATGAATATTCACATGTGCACTCCTAGTGGGCAATTTATTGGTTAAGCCAATTCATCCATTTCAATTCTTGAGTATAATATTGACAGAACTTTAAATGATGTTCAAATCTGAAGGATATTTTGGTATGATAAAGATATTCTGAGAATGAAGCAGTAAAAAATAATGATGACAAATGGATATGAAAATATTATCAGAAACATGTAATTTAAATAAATTAGAACTCAATGAAGACAGCATTGGTAAATTAAACTTTAAGAAATAATAAATTGTGCAGTCAAATAATGGCTTGAACATTTTTATTGGAAAATTCTGCGTATTGTGCAGAGTTGAGGGACTAATCCAACTAAATTTGATGAATAACAATTTGGGCCCATTAAAACTCATCTTTCTTGGTCATCATCTCTGCTGTTCTTTTCCATTATTCCCCTGTGAAACCATTCAAATGAAACGAATTGACATTAAAGAATTCTTCTTCATTTAAAAAAAAAATATATAAAATGTTTCGATTAATTAACAGACTGAACAGAAAATTCTTTGGCACATTCGTATTGTTCGCTGTCTCTTTCCACTGCGTTTAATTTGCATATGGATGGTGCTGTCCTTTTGTGTGCGCGTCTGTCTGTCTGTCTGTGTCCTCAATGCCAAAGAGTCAATATTATTATGGTCTACGCATACCGTTGGCCTGTTTCGGTGGTGTGGCGGGGGAGGGGGAGGCAACCGCAAAGCGTTGGCAAAAATGCTTTCAATTAATTAAACACCCGAAAAGCACCCGAACACCATGATGCAAAATGCAATGTGCTGAGAGAGCGAATAAGAGAGATATACTCTCACTCGTACAGAGTGCGAAACTCAACCGACTCAATCAAAATTAAAGGATATACGGCTTAAGGTCAATACTTTAGATACCCTCACAGAACCATCTCTCTATTGCAGCTATACGATTTTAGATAATTCTGATATGCATCAAATTTAATTTAGCAATGAACAAAGCACAAAGCAACAGTAGGTTTTATATACTTACAGGATTAAATGATACTGTAGCTGTTGCGACACATGGATATACATTTTATAGATTTGGAAATGCTTTTATCTGCAGGGTATAACGATGCCACTACACGACCCCACATAGGCCTTCTCTCTATCTGCTTCTGTGTGCGTAAGTGTGCGTGTCTGTGGCAAGTGCGGTATGCAGCTCATTAATAATACAGATAATGTGTGTTGGAGGCAATCATTTTTCGGTTGCATGCCAGCGCGGTTGCGCTGATTAACACAGCCACCGGTCAGCAGAATGTCAGCGAATATTGCCTGGTGGGTGGCATTCCGATGCCATGGCTTAACAACAACGCGAATGTGAAACAACGAACAGTTACAATGCGAATTAATGGCGTTTTGGTAATGTTTTTACCCGGTTAATGGCATGTTCAGCGGGATATCGGAAAATTGGGCAGCGGTTTAATGGCTTCTCAGTCATATATCCTGTAGTCCAGTCAAATATAATCGCAATACGTTTTATATGTAAATTCGTATGGCCTGGAAGCCTTAAAAGAGAGAAAAGATCTTAAGTAAAAGAGATTTAAAGTGCAAAGAATACATTTTACAGGGATTAAGTCATTTATTTTCTTGAATTAACTCAAGATTATGAACATGGGTATACTCAGATTAAACATTTATTAAGTTATCAGTAAGAATATGAGATACACTCAATAACCAGCATTTTGATTGCATAAAGTTTCAATATTGGTCTCAAATAAATCTGGGAAAAAATTCTACCAATCCTACTGTAAGATTAAATTAATAATAGCAGGGAATGCAAGTTCGGATCAGTTTGTCTATACTCGTATCATATTATTATCAAGGAATTTAACGGCATGCACAGCTGTATCAGGCTTACAAGCTCAGAAGATACACTTTCCTTAGTTTCAGTTTTAATTATTTTTGTTAATTAAGCGTTTACATTGTCAGTGTTATTGTCGAGTCAACCAACCTCGCCTTGTCAGAGCTTTGTTATTCGCTTTATATTAAAGTTAATTCCAAGATGGGAAAGCTCTCCTCGCAGTTAAAATTAAGAAAACATCCATCCAGTCACCCCATTTCTCCTGCATTCAGTATATCCAGCGACTTTTTTTTAGCTCTTTGCTGTGTCATCCAGTCCCCCCGCGCCAGCATAAATTGATATACTATAAAGCGGGAAACTTAAAGTTTGGTCAATAAATCTACTGCTCGCGCCCTCGCGAAACTGTGATGCCCAGAGCGGGACAGTCCCCGTCGCGCTGTCCACTTAATAAAGTGCAAACAGGCAAGTGATTATTTCACAGCTATTGTCCGACGCCCTGTCTCGTTCCCCCAGACAGCATTCAGACTACAGGGAAGCGGATGCGGGCAGAACATGGGAGGGACAACTCGGGAGGGAACTGGTCCAACAAAAGGATTTGCGTAATAACTAAAGAAACGAACCAGAAGCAGCACCACCCGAAACAGATATAAAAAATACAATAACGAAAAGAAAACGCGCGAAAAATTGTGCAGCGTGAAAAAAAAAATGTAAGAGTACGGGTATACAATGGCAAACAAAAAGATAAAGAGGGAGAGGGAGAGATTGGTAGAATGGTGGGTCGGTCATCTGCTGCCCAGCCCAGAGTGCTGCCGTAGAAATTTACGAGCTGCTTTATGGCCGCAGCCACCCACACACGTACCGACATGGAAATGGTCACGCACTGAAACTCATACGCTCACTCATTTGCCTCGAGTTGGCAGTGCTCTCATCCACACACGCGAAAGAGAGCCTGGATAGAATGGGGGGGGGGACTGGACAGAGGAAAATCCCTTTACTTTCGTTCTCATTTTCGATTTTCTTTCTTTTCGTCACATGCACACTGAAAGAAATTATACTAAAACTAATTCATATGAAAATATTCTGAATAATTAGTGATATTTGTATTTAATTTGACCTGGAAAAAGACACCTAATCATGGCTAATGATGGGTTAATGTGAGAATATGATACAGAGATAATTATTATAATTTTTACTAGTGTATTTATTTTTATAGTCGTGAGAAATTCGCTTCGTTACAAACCCACACTCCCACAGAGAAGGGGTGTAAAGATTTAAGGGGATTTCGAACGCATTGTTATTGAAAAGTAAATAATTGGTAGCACAAAATGTACACTGCGGAAAAGAAACTCGCCTGTTAGTAACTGTAGACAAGAAAACTTGCTTAAACATGCTTAAAGTTAGCTGAACATTACTGCTCAATAATTTTTCTAATAATTTATGCATAATAATCGTTAAAGGAATGCAAAATGACATCAATTATATGTATTATATAGATCGAAAAGAGGTTGATAAGGATATATCACAACCATGGCAGCTAGAAGCTTACGAATATATTCCATAAATAGAACACGCACAAAACTATTTATTGAACTTCCTGCAACATTTAAATTTAGTTGCTAGATAACCATGACGGGGTAGAGGCTCACAAATTGGCGTTCATCATCAATCATCTGTTTGGGGCTGATGCTGAACTAAAGCAGCAGCGTCAGTCGTGGCCAATGGGGTAGAATGCTGACGCTAATTGCAATTTGTGGTTACATGCAACAGCACCAGAAAGGGGCAGCAACCAGCTCGATGCTAGTTTATGTATGTACTATGGCATTCACGTTACAATCGCTGGCAAACATCGTTTGGTTTGGATTTTGGCACCGCCACGTCCCATGCCCCGAGCACCTTCCGCCAAGCATGATGATGGATTTGGGTTGGAAAGTGCCGCGAAGTCGAAAAACCGCAGCATACGAGCAGGCGTCTACACTCTATTCCAAGCAATTCAATTGAGAGAAGTTCGGGACTCAGGCCGGGTAACCAGGTAAACTCAATCAAGCACAGGCGGCCGACAACCGCCTCTCTCGTACATACTCGTATGCAAATCAAGTGTGCAGTGTTTGCCCAAACGGGGCTAAAAGGGTTTCGTGTTCAATGTTTTTACTGCGTTACTATCTTTGATCTTTTGTCCTTAAATATTGTATCTTGAAAATAATGAAAAAATTGCTTTCATCTTGGTAACAAGTAAAGGAAGCTGCTTGGAATCTAAAATGCAAATCATGCTTAAATGTAGCAAATAAAGGGATTAAAGGAAATGGTTTAGAGGTTACTTTCTTTATTGTATCTAAATGTATAAGAAACCATGAACTATAAATTGTATTTTGCGAGCTGAAGATTATATGATACAAGTGAAGCGATGACTAAAGGTCAATGTATTTTTAGCCGGCTCAAAAACAATTCGATTACTTTGTAATCGATTTAATAGGCGTTTTCCAGGAAATTGGCAGCACTGTCAAATGGGTAGGCCTCGACAATGCCGCCAGCTGTCAAGTTTAGGTAACCTGAATGAATGTTCTCATTAATACTTCAAGTGTACTAGAGTACAGTTCGGTTTTTAGATACTTTCGTTCAGAAAATACATTC